CACCTTGCTCTTGTTCTGGTGAATTATTCTCTGGACCTCCCCAGAGTTCCTTTTCCAATCAACTTACTCTTCCGATAGGAGACCTCACAGGCTAGGCCTTGGGATCCAACAGGACAGATGCAGTCACAGCGTGATCCTGAGAAGACAAGGCAGAGAAAGTGTGAATCATGCCAGGTGGAGCAAAGAACTCCTGGAGCTCAGCCCTGCACATCACTGCAGTTCCATCAGGTTAAAACAGAGCACATATTTAGTTAAATAACTTGCTAAGGGCAGGTTCAGTGCCAGGAATACCTACTCCTTTCCTAAGGGCCTTTGCCATGAAGGGGTGTTTATTGCCATCCCTGGGAATACATAGAGTTGTTGAGGACAATTACTCATTAGCTGACATTTGACCCATTCTTAAATGCTTTCAGTGTCAGAAGCTACATTAGCAGTCACTGAGGCCAATTGTCATTGATGTTCAACTTCATCCCAAATAATTGCCTAGCCTAGGCTTGAATACCTCAAGGATGGGGAACTCATTACTCTTAGATGTCTCATCTGACTTTTGGCCAGTTCTGACTCCTTGGAAGTGATTCCCTATGCGAATTTGCAATCTGTCAAGGAACTTCTCATCTGAATCACAAGAAATCTCTTTACAGGATTGCCCACGTGAACAACTTCCAACACAATTCCTGGCTGGTAGTCAATATGAGGGAAATAAAGTTGTAGAGTGAGTAAGGTGAGGATTACAAAGATGCTTAAGCCTTTAACTCAGTATTTATTTAAATCAACTGGCATTTTACAAGCTAATATCTTTATTTTAAACAGCCTGCATGGCACTGCCTTTTGCCCTCACATGAACCCCAGGTGGAAACTGGTGTAGGGGTGAGCTGGCCTGAGTACTTGAGGGCTCAGAGCTCTCACTGTATGTAGCCCACTGCTGTATTATCTGCTAGGAGCAGTCAAGTGTTTCTGAAGCAGGGCCTGAGCAGGGGCTGCCCCCATTTTGAGGAGGTGGATTGTTACACTGCCTTTGTCTTGTCTTACGTCCTCCAGAGCATGAAGACCAACTTGACCAGCAATTCCACTTCCCATCAGTGGGGATATCTATAAGAAAGAAGGTCAACAAACATCAATTAGCCCTTCTTATATTCTGGTGCCTTACTGGGGTTGGGTGAAGTATGCAAGCCAAAAGGCTTTGGGAGTCTGAATCTCTAAGCTTCCTGCTGCAGTTGACTGGCCATCTTCCTGGCCATTGTACTTGTCATGCTCCTGCCTACCACAGGGCCTTTGCATAGGCTTTCCCCCTTGCCCAGAACACTCTTCCCTCCTCTACTCACCTGGTCAATCCAATTCACCCCTCAGATCTTAGTAAAAGTGTTATTTCCTTGGGAAAAGCTTATCTGACTCCCCAACTCCCTATCAGTTCCCTGTGACTCCTAACTTTCCATCAGTTCCCATATTTTAAGTTCTCTGAGCATTTTGTAGCAGTTGTTACAATTTAAACTTTAAAGACCTTTATGGGACAATTCAAATGATATTGGCCTTCCTTTCCAAAGCAAAATATCCATTGTGACAGGGGCTATATCTGATTTGCTCACCCAGCAGCTAGGCTGGCACACAGGAGGCCCTTGCTAAACATGTGTTGAGTGGATGAATGGATGAATAAATAAACGAATGAATGGTTTCCAGTTTAGACAGATCCCAGCTATAGGATGCTGGACAGTTACCTTCTTCTCAGCCTATATAATGGAGCTGTGTTATCTACTATGAGCAATGGATGGTATAGATGAGGTGACAACAGACACCAGTGCTTTCCACATTCTGACACTTTGCTTTCACATGAGGATTTTTGATCGTTGGTGAGATTGGCAAGTCATCAATCACTTCCATCATGATATATCGTGTGTCCAGCTATGCCACTACCTCACAGTGTAATTCTGGGTAAATTAAATAACTCTGGGCCTCTCCATTTGAAAAATAAGAGAGCTGGAGTGCATAGTTCCCAAGGGCTCCTCCAGCCAATAGGAACCCTGTGGTTGTGTGACTGCAGACTCACTGGGAAGACGACTGCTACGGGCATGGTTGAGGTGCAAGACGAGAGGGTGGACAACCTTGAGTGTTTCACTGGGAACATAAGAGTGCAGGCAGGAGTTACGATCAAAGGCTGTGGGGGCAGACCCACTGGACCTGAACCTCGGTTTCTATACTTCCTAACTGCGTGACTATTGGGCATGTTAGTGAGTGACCATTGAACCTCAGTTTCTTCATCCATAAAATGGGAATATCAATAATATCTACTTCATGGGGTTGTTGTGAGGATTAAAGAATTTAATATATATAAGATACAAAGTAACAATGTGCTCTTTAAAAAGCAACCAATGTTATCTTGCTTTGACAATGTGTAAGGTATCATTCCAAATGCTTTATATGCCTCGTTACAAACTCAAGACAACTCTATGAGGTAGTTAATATGATCATATTCATCTTACAGGCACAAAAACCGAGGCATAAAGAGGCCGAGCATCTTGCTCAAGGTCAGTTATTAAATGATGGAGATGGAATTTCAACTCAAGCTGAGTTCAAGCACTCAGCAAGGTGTCTAGTATATAGTAAAGTGTCCAGTAAATGTTCGTTGTTTGTTTTACATGTGCCATTTCCATATTGAACAGTATCACCAAAAAGTCACAGAAAGGAATAGAAGTGAGAGAGGAGTGAAAGGTTGAGAACTCTTATGTGTTAAACTGGCCAAAGAATTTGAGAGCTGGAAGGGATCTAAATGATAGCCAAGTCTTTCATTTGTTAATTCAACTATTATCACTGAGCAGCAGCTGTGCCTGGCTACTGAGACACAGAGGTAAATGGGATATGGTCCCTACTCACAGGTGCAGGGGAGCTAGATAGACACATCAACCCAAAGTACAAGGCACAAAGAGCTATAATAGATACATGTTCAAAGTCCCGGGGGAGCCAGCAGGAGGAATTAGCTAATTCTTTGGGGATTAGAGGAATTTTTTACGGAGGAGGGGGCATCCATGCTGGAATTTGAGGGCTGAATAGGAGCATACTGAGCCGAAAAAGAGGGTAAGCATTCCAGAATGATCCAAAGAGATAGCTTACAAAAGCCACGCATTGATATTTCTCTAACATGAAGCACTCTGTGTTGTAAAAATAATGAAATGAGTAACAATCAATGCATCAGTTATTAAATGATGGAGGTAGAATTTCAACCCAAGCTGAGTTTAAGCAGGATGGATCTCGGGTTTCTTAGTATCCAGCCCCACAGTCCACAACCGCACCTTGCTCTTGTTCTGGTGAATTATTCTCTGGACCTCCCCAGAGTTCCTTTTCCAATCAACTTACTCTTCCGATAGGAGACCTCACAGGCTAGGCCTTGGGATCCAACAGGACAGATGCAGTCACAGCGTGATCCTGAGAAGACAAGGCAGAGAAAGTGTGAATCATGCCAGGTGGAGCAAAGAACTCCTGGAGCTCAGCCCTGCACATCACTGCAGTTCCATCAGGTTAAAACAGAGCACATATTTAGTTAAATAACTTGCTAAGGGCAGGTTCAGTGCCAGGAATACCTACTCCTTTCCTAAGGGCCTTTGCCATGAAGGGGTGTTTATTGCCATCCCTGGGAATACATAGAGTTGTTGAGGACAATTACTCATTAGCTGACATTTGACCCATTCTTAAATGCTTTCAGTGTCAGAAGCTACATTAGCAGTCACTGAGGCCAATTGTCATTGATGTTCAACTTCATCCCAAATAATTGCCTAGCCTAGGCTTGAATACCTCAAGGATGGGGAACTCATTACTCTTAGATGTCTCATCTGACTTTTGGCCAGTATAGATGAGGTGACAACAGACACCAGTGCTTTCCACATTCTGACACTTTGCTTTCACATGAGGATTTTTGATCGTTGGTGAGATTGGCAAGTCATCAATCACTTCCATCATGATATATCGTGTGTCCAGCTATGCCACTACCTCACAGTGTAATTCTGGGTAAATTAAATAACTCTGGGCCTCTCCATTTGAAAAATAAGAGAGCTGGAGTGCATAGTTCCCAAGGGCTCCTCCAGCCAATAGGAACCCTGTGGTTGTGTGACTGCAGACTCACTGGGAAGACGACTGCTACGGGCATGGTTGAGGTGCAAGACGAGAGGGTGGACAACCTTGAGTGTTTCACTGGGAACATAAGAGTGCAGGCAGGAGTTACGATCAAAGGCTGTGGGGGCAGACCCACTGGACCTGAACCTCGGTTTCTATACTTCCTAACTGCGTGACTATTGGGCATGTTAGTGAGTGACCATTGAACCTCAGTTTCTTCATCCATAAAATGGGAATATCAATAATATCTACTTCATGGGGTTGTTGTGAGGATTAAAGAATTTAATATATATAAGATACAAAGTAACAATGTGCTCTTTAAAAAGCAACCAATGTTATCTTGCTTTGACAATGTGTAAGGAGAACACTCTTCCCTCCTCTACTCACCTGGTCAATCCAATTCACCCCTCAGCAATCACACCCTTCCTATACTCAGCATCAAAGTGAGCTGGGGGACCAGGATCCTCTCTCCTCAGAAGGGAGTGGCTGGAGATTTGTCAATCACACACACACACACACACACACACACACACACACACACACACACACAGACACAGTAATTTCTGTTGCATTTTATTTCATGAAAAACTCTTTGTTAATCAGATACTCATTTACTGAGAGGTAAGAGAGCATCAGAGTTAACAATTTAAAATTCTAGAGCCTGAATTTGCAGCCCAGGTCTGCCGCTTTCTAACTGTGTAACAATGGACAAATTGCTTAAGTGCTGTAAGCCTCAGTTCCCCCAGCTGTTCTGGCATCTACCTTATAAGACTGTCATGAGGACGGAAGGAATTAATACACAGAATCCATGGCTGACATACAGTAGTCATCCAATAAACAGGAACTACTATTATTATTGAACAAGACCTTGTACTCATCAAGGAAAGTACACAATATTCATTCATCGATTCATTATTAAGCACCTACTATATGCCAGTCGCAGCTAGAAAGTGGAAGTGAAATGTGAACAACTTCCAACACAATTCCTGGCTGGTAGTCAATATGAGGGAAATAAAGTTGTAGAGTGAGTAAGGTGAGGATTACAAAGATGCTTAAGCCTTTAACTCAGTATTTATTTAAATCAACTGGCATTTTACAAGCTAATATCTTTATTTTAAACAGCCTGCATGGCACTGCCTTTTGCCCTCACATGAACCCCAGGTGGAAACTGGTGTAGGGGTGAGCTGGCCTGAGTACTTGAGGGCTCAGAGCTCTCACTGTATGTAGCCCACTGCTGTATTATCTGCTAGGAGCAGTCAAGTGTTTCTGAAGCAGGGCCTGAGCAGGGGCTGCCCCCATTTTGAGGAGGTGGATTGTTACACTGCCTTTGTCTTGTCTTACGTCCTCCAGAGCATGAAGACCAACTTGACCAGCAATTCCACTTCCCATCAGTGGGGATATCTATAAGAAAGAAGGTCAACAAACATCAATTAGCCCTTCTTATATTCTGGTGCCTTACTGGGGTTGGGTGAAGTATGCAAGCCAAAAGGCTTTGGGAGTCTGAATCTCTAAGCTTCCTGCTGCAGTTGACTGGCCATCTTCCTGGCCATTGTACTTGTCATGCTCCTGCCTACCACAGGGCCTTTGCATAGGCTTTCCCCCTTGCCCAGAACACTCTTCCCTCCTCTACTCACCTGGTCAATCCAATTCACCCCTCAGATCTTAGTAAAAGTGTTATTTCCTTGGGAAAAGCTTATCTGACTCCCCAACTCCCTATCAGTTCCCTGTGACTCCTAACTTTCCATCAGTTCCCATATTTTAAGTTCTCTGAGCATTTTGTAGCAGTTGTTACAATTTAAACTTTAAAGACCTTTATGGGACAATTCAAATGATATTGGCCTTCCTTTCCAAAGCAAAATATCCATTGTGACAGGGGCTATATCTGATTTGCTCACCCAGCAGCTAGGCTGGCACACAGGAGGCCCTTGCTAAACATGTGTTGAGTGGATGAATGGATGAATAAATGAATGAATGAATGGTTTCCAGTTTAGACAGATCCCAGCTATAGGATGCTGGACAGTTACCTTCTTCTCAGCCTATATAATGGAGCTGTGTTATCTACTATGAGCAATGGATGGTATAGATGAGGTGACAACAGACACCAGTGCTTTCCACATTCTGACACTTTGCTTTCACATGAGGATTTTTGATCGTTGGTGAGATTGGCAAGTCATCAATCACTTCCATCATGATATATCGTGTGTCCAGCTATGCCACTACCTCACAGTGTAATTCTGGGTAAATTAAATAACTCTGGGCCTCTCCATTTGAAAAATAAGAGAGCTGGAGTGCATAGTTCCCAAGGGCTCCTCCAGCCAATAGGAACCCTGTGGTTGTGTGACTGCAGACTCACTGGGAAGACGACTGCTACGGGCATGGTTGAGGTGCAAGACGAGAGGGTGGACAACCTTGAGTGTTTCACTGGGAACATAAGAGTGCAGGCAGGAGTTACGATCAAAGGCTGTGGGGGCAGACCCACTGGACCTGAACCTCGGTTTCTATACTTCCTAACTGCGTGACTATTGGGCATGTTAGTGAGTGACCATTGAACCTCAGTTTCTTCATCCATAAAATGGGAATATCAATAATATCTACTTCATGGGGTTGTTGTGAGGATTAAAGAATTTAATATATATAAGATACAAAGTAACAATGTGCTCTTTAAAAAGCAACCAATGTTATCTTGCTTTGACAATGTGTAAGGTATCATTCCAAATGCTTTATATGCCTCGTTACAAACTCAAGACAACTCTATGAGGTAGTTAATATGATCATATTCATCTTACAGGCACAAAAACCGAGGCATAAAGAGGCCGAGCATCTTGCTCAAGGTCAGTTATTAAATGATGGAGATGGAATTTCAACTCAAGCTGAGTTCAAGCACTCAGCAAGGTGTCTAGTATATAGTAAAGTGTCCAGTAAATGTTCGTTGTTTGTTTTACATGTGCCATTTCCATATTGAACAGTATCACCAAAAAGTCACAGAAAGGAATAGAAGTGAGAGAGGAGTGAAAGGTTGAGAACTCTTATGTGTTAAACTGGCCAAAGAATTTGAGAGCTGGAAGGGATCTAAATGATAGCCAAGTCTTTCATTTGTTAATTCAACTATTATCACTGAGCAGCAGCTGTGCCTGGCTACTGAGACACAGAGGTAAATGGGATATGGTCCCTACTCACAGGTGCAGGGGAGCTAGATAGACACATCAACCCAAAGTACAAGGCACAAAGAGCTATAATAGATACATGTTCAAAGTCCCGGGGGAGCCAGCAGGAGGAATTAGCTAATTCTTTGGGGATTAGAGGAATTTTTTACGGAGGAGGGGGCATCCATGCTGGAATTTGAGGGCTGAATAGGAGCATACTGAGCCGAAAAAGAGGGTAAGCATTCCAGAATGATCCAAAGAGATAGTTTACAAAAGCCACGCATTGATATTTCTCTAACATGAAGCACTCTGTGTTGTAAAAATAATGAAATGAGTAACAATCAATGCATCAGTTATTAAATGATGGAGGTAGAATTTCAACCCAAGCTGAGTTTAAGCAGGATGGATCTCGGGTTTCTTAGTATCCAGCCCCACAGTCCACAACCGCACCTTGCTCTTGTTCTGGTGAATTATTCTCTGGACCTCCCCAGAGTTCCTTTTCCAATCAACTTACTCTTCCGATAGGAGACCTCACAGGCTAGGCCTTGGGATCCAACAGGACAGATGCAGTCACAGCGTGATCCTGAGAAGACAAGGCAGAGAAAGTGTGAATCATGCCAGGTGGAGCAAAGAACTCCTGGAGCTCAGCCCTGCACATCACTGCAGTTCCATCAGGTTAAAACAGAGCACATATTTAGTTAAATAACTTGCTAAGGGCAGGTTCAGTGCCAGGAATACCTACTCCTTTCCTAAGGGCCTTTGCCATGAAGGGGTGTTTATTGCCATCCCTGGGAATACATAGAGTTGTTGAGGACAATTACTCATTAGCTGACATTTGACCCATTCTTAAATGCTTTCAGTGTCAGAAGCTACATTAGCAGTCACTGAGGCCAATTGTCATTGATGTTCAACTTCATCCCAAATAATTGCCTAGCCTAGGCTTGAATACCTCAAGGATGGGGAACTCATTACTCTTAGATGTCTCATCTGACTTTTGGCCAGTTCTGACTCCTTGGAAGTGATTCCCTATGCGAATTTGCAATCTGTCAAGGAACTTCTCATCTGAATCACAAGAAATCTCTTTACAGGATTGCCCACCATAGGTCAGGCCCTGCAAGCACCCCAGTCTCTGGCTCCATATTCTCCCTCACCTTCACTCTATAGCCTCAGGTGGGTCCAAGTTTCTGGGTCCAAATTTCACAC